AACTGCTGACGACAGTAATCCACTGCTGCTCAGTGCAGCTTGAGGACATGAGCTCACCTGTGATTCTGAGGACTCATGATTTGTTCACACAGTAAAACGCTTGATTTTCACTTTAATGTTCACCAGTTACCAACATGTCAGATTATTTTAACATCTACCCTTGGTGTTTCACGCGCTAACACTTGATCCTCAACTTTAACAGACTGCACCTGTCTTTGTAGTCTAGGTCAGCTGGCTTCAATGGCTGGAATTGACGGGTCAGATTTCCAGCCTCTGGGAAGACCTCAGCTCTCCTCTACAGTCGGACCACATTTGGATGGAGCAGCGTTACTGACTCAGGGCGACTGTGTGGATGTTACGGCAAAGACGGATGCTGCGTCTTTGGTAAGTATGTGCAAAACGATTACTGGGGAATGTTTTCAGACGCAATTTTCTTGTCTTTTACCAACATGGAGAGTGTCAGTTTCATGTTTGCATGTACTTTGTGTGTATGCATGCAGCTTTAAAACACTCTACGTGACTCAATAAGACCACAAATCAACATGCAATGAATGCTTTGTTGTTAAAGAAAGAAATGTGCCTTAAATACTTCAGTTGGACATCTGAGCTGTAATACTGCAGAACCACATCAAGTAGACCTGTTGCGCACCAGCTCTGAGTTCAATGGTTTACATATGTCCACAAATTTATTCAAGGATTCAAGGAGCTTTATTTGTCATGGCAGCTCACATTCACATGTTAGTGGTACAAAATTTGTACTCAGGTCCCGTTTTTTTTTTTTTTTTAATTTAAGAAAAAGCCTAATAAATAGTTGATACAATAAAACAAGAGCAAAATATAAGTGAAAGAAAAAAAAACAGCAATAAGTGTAGTAGAAAATTATAAACATTAAGAGCAGAAAGCCACAATTAGTTGTTTAGGACAAAATTATTCAAACCCTTCCATTAGAGAAAAGGCAAAATTCACAATAGTCACTCAAACAATTCATTCTTAACTTATTCTGTTAACGTCTGTTGCTTGCAGTTCCATTCGCCATTTATCCCTATCGAGGGCATCATCAGGGGTTAGCCCCCAGTGCACTAGGTCCCCTGACACCAGCGCCTCCCATGTTTTCCTGGGTCTCCCCCTAAACCATCACTACGTACATCCATAAGTTTGTTGGAGCAAAGATTTTATGGCTGGATGCCAGAAGTCTGACTGAGACTTACAGAAAACACTGGGTTGCAGTGATTGGCTCAAAGGGTTGTTCAGCTAGATATTAGTTTATAGGTCCCATCATGCTTGTTTGCTTTTCTTTTTTCTTTTTTTAATATTTCTGTTGAACCACAATTCAAAAGCAATGCCATGATGTTCATTGAATTTTTATATATTATTACTTTTGTCAATTCAGTGGCAGCTGTTTTTTTTTTTTTTTTTTTGCTTCTTTCATGGGAGGGTTTGAATAAATCTGAGGATGACTGAATATTTTTGAAGTCACAAAGTTCACTTACTCAGAACATCCATGAGTCGGAGGCTCCCGCAATGAAACATGTTGCAACTCAGAGAACCTGGTTTACGCAAACAACCTCAATTTTGCTGACATTATCACGTCTTTGGTTGTCATTTGGGGCTGCAAGGTGGCTCGGTGGTTAGCATCGTTGCCTCGCAGCTAGGAGGTTGCCAGTTCACGAGGACACCCGGGAGCTTGCATGTTCTCCCCGTGCAGCGCGGGTTCTCTCCGGGTTCTCCAGCTTCCTCCCACACAGTCAATCAATCAATCAATCAAATTTTATTTGTATAGCGCTTTTCATGTGCAACAACAACGCAAAGTGCTTTACAACATTTAAAACCAACAAAGCATTTAAAAACTATTACAACATTTTAAAAAAATAAAATAAACCCGTCCCTCCCTCCCACCCTCCATGCATACACATACAACAAATGAAGTCGCGCACACACAGACACACTCACCACGAGACTAAAAGAGGCATGGCATAGCACTGAGGGATTGTGGGAAACGCTACCATTGGGGCCGTCCACACCAGGAGGAGTTGCAGACCATGACTACTGGGGGCGCCAGCGCCCGGACCCCCGACCTGGCAGACGGGGGGGTCCCCACAACGAGGTGGGGAGCCCCCCCAACCAGCCGGCCGAGAGGACCTGCAGACAGCACCCCCAGTAACAGTCCACACATGTTGAGGTTAACTGGTGATTCTAGGTTGTCCGTGGGTGTGAATGTGAGTGTGCTTGGTTGTCGGTTTCTAAGTGTAGCTGTGATAGACTGGTGACCTGTCCAGGATATCCTCTGCTTTCACCCTGAGTCAGCTGGAATGGCCTCCAGCTCCCCCATGACCCTAGTGAGGATTAAGTGGCATATAGATGCAGAACTCCATGAATAGGAGTCACCCGTAGTGACACATGTTGCGACACCTGGTTACGCAAACAACCTCAGCTTTGCTGACATTATCATGACTTCCGTTGTCATTTGACTGTATAACAATAGCTTCGTAGCATTAATCGCATCATTTGTCCATTACTGCATTTTTCTCTTTAAATTCTGTTGTTTAGGTGAGCAGCGTCCTGCCTGCTCCCCACGGTGGACCACTGGACACCACAGCTCCCAGATCTCCGTCCACTGTCTGGACAGCATTGCGTAAAGACGGGCTGCTGGATGTGACCGTCACTCAGGCTTCAGGCGGAGAACAACAGCTAGGTCGATATTCAAAGCCTGTGTCCCCGCGTGACTCAGGTTCTGAGCGCAGTTTCCGTAGCCACAAGTCCTTTGATAATAATTCCTTTGGTAAAACCTTCCAGGCTCAACCAAGCCACCCCAAAAGCAACAGCAGCTCTCACAGAAGCGACAGTCCCCACGGATACAGCTTCAACAACAGCTACAGTCGCGCTTCGCCTAGCAACGGGTCTCATGGCGGTTCGTCTGTGAGCGTTAGTGACATTATAAGTGACAAGGCAGAGTCTGTGGAGTCAGTAGGGTTAAGGAACAGGGGAAAGGGAAGGTCAGTAAGTCAGTCAGGGTCAGAGGTGGTGGAGAGGAACGCCAGTCCTCATAGGGGTGTTCTGGAGCAGCTCGGGTCTCTGTCGGATGATGAGTCCTTCTGACCAGAGAAAAATGAAGAGCTGTGTCTGTTCTCAGTGCGTTTTACGTAAAGTTCCCGTCATTTTTTGATGTTGTTGATCAGATTTTTTAACTTATTTTTAAACCTTTGGAAGACAAAACACCAGAATTCTTATATTTTCGATACCAGTTATTTCATTTAGGAAAAGTCAATTAGAAATGTATGAAAGCCAAAAGAGACGTATGTCTCACGATG